TGTGTGTGTGTGTGTGTGTGTGTGTGTGTGTGTGTGTGTGTGTGTGAGGGATTTAAGGGTGGAAATGAGAGAGCAAAGTCATATTACAGTTATCAACATACAGTATATGTTCATTGTACTGTATATTAATGGCACATATAGACCATGTGCCAATTATACTTGACACAATCCCTCATGACCATTTTCATTGTAGGGACATTTCGAAGTCTTCCTGGAAGTGGGGACCATTGCCAGGACAGGAGCTATTTTCCTCTCCACCTTGGTCATAATCCTCATCCTTATTTTCCGTAAGTGTGGAGAGGACTGCATTTTGTGACTCATATGCCGTTCAGATGAATTTAACAAGTGGGCGTCAGTTTGAGCAGAAGAAGTCACAGAGAGTTCGTCTTCCTTCTTTAGACTGAGCCAATCACGAATGTTTGTGTTTCTCCTCACTATAGGCAGAAAGTTCCAGCTGGAGAGGAGCCTTCAGGATCCTAACACCCCAGCTGTGGAAAACATATATGAAAGTGTCCCAATGAGTGATGGTCAGCTCTACATGAAGAAAGGATTTTTTACACAAGAAACCTCAGGGTGAAGAAGTGCCTGCTTGTCATGTGCTGACACTTTCCATCTCCTCTGGTTCAGAGAAGAACCCTTTGACTGCAAGAGAGTGTCATCTCCTATTTCCCTCCAGTGAAGCAGCCAATGTTCTCTGATTCAAGAAAAGTTTGATTATCCATCAGAAGATACAAAAATATAATATATTATAACAAATGATCATTTCAGTCTTTCTGTGCTTCATGGCAAATTTAATGTCACAGCCAAGAGGAGCTTGTGGATGGTGAGTGTTTGTGAAGACAACGCCACCTGCTGGAGTCCAATATTAGAGGAGGGCACTTTATAGTGAAAAGTAATGTGACCTTAGTTTGGTGGTTACAGTAAATATGTGATGAGAAGGTGGGAAGGGAAAGTGAAGGAGAAACTGGTCACATTTATGTTAAATGTAAAAGAGGCTACTAACTGTAGACTGAAAAACTATATTCATTAAAGATTAAAAAATAAATACATTTTAGAAATATGTCATTGTGGAACTTTCAGCACATTTAAACAGATTTAAGATGACATGGCTTCAGTTTAACGACTAAACCAATTATCCATTTCTCTTCCCCCTGTGTTGGGTATTTATTTTTTTCCGTGAAAAATCAAGAAATCATAATCTATCTTATAATGTCATGACTGAGAAAATCAGCTGTAACCTCTCAGAAACTATAACATGTAGTTGTTGCTGTATACGCTGCCTTCTGTAACATGACATCCTATCTGTTGAAATCAAACAAATAAATGTTAAAAAACGGACTTATAAACTGACTCCTTGATAAATTGAATACATTACTCAGCAAAGAACTGAAACGTTGAGGAGAAAAATACAAATAATTGCAATTTTGAAATCATATTTATTTTGCTGTAGTAACTGAAGGTTGTGAGGAGCAATAAGAGAGGAAGTATCTAGCAGGCCCACGTGTTTATTAAGCAGTCCAAGAAAAAATACGGAAGTGTGGCCCTTAACTAAATCAGACTTCATTCACCATGGGTCTTTGTTTTAACTTTGGTAAAATTGAAAACCAGATCAGAGAACCTGAGGGTTGGGGGTTAGGTTTAGTTTAAGATGTTTCATAACTTAAAAGCAAATTTGATAAATAGGTGAGACCAAGACATTAATAATTGATTGACTACACTGATTTCTATATGTCTCATAATGAATAAGAAAGATGGATTGGAGCGGAATGGATTTATTTCCTTCATCTTAAGGTCCTTCAACATAGACAGGACGATGCTGCGGATGTTTTATGAGTCTGTTGTGTCCAGTGCCATCATGTTTGCTGTTGTCTGCTCGGGCAGCAGCTTGAAGAAGAAGGACATAAATAGACTCAACAAGCTAATCAGGAAAGCCAGCCATGTTTTGTGGGGGGGGGGGCGGTAAATATATACCTGGTCTTTACTTCTACATATGTATATCTTTATTTCTATTAGCCTTACTTGATTTTTATATTTAATATGTCTATACCTGCTTTTGCTGTTTCACCTCTTTCTCAGGGGCTCTGTAACATTTTAATTTCCCTACAGGGATTAATAAAGTACTTCGGATTCTGATTCTGATTATGCTTCCTGGTGCACTGCATCCTGGGATACGGCACACATATCGAAGATACTGTGTATTTAAGTCTATGTGCCAGTTATTATTGACCCAGTCTGTCACAATGAGGCTGTTTTTTTTTAGCATGAAAATTCAAAGCCCTCCCGGGAGTCGAGAACATTGGTAGGACGGGAGCTATTTTCTTCTCCAACGTAATCCTAATCCTCGTCTTTATTGTGGAAGGGATTACAGTTTGTGACTCATGTGTCATTCAGATTAATTCAACACATTCAAAGTGGGTGTCTATTGAGCAACAGAATCACTGAGAGTGGGCCTCTCTTCTTTTTTTATACCAGGAATTCAAGTCACCTTGACGGACAATGTTGCAGAGAATGACTTACGTTCAGTGCAAATGTTTAATAACAATAAATGAAGTACTCAAACTTTAAAACACTTACCATTCAATATTACCGCATGTTGTAATTGAACGTTATCAAAGTTTTGTTTAGGGATTTGGTTTGTTTCTGTAGACTTTTCTTCATATCACGAAAAATTCAGATTTATTTTTGAAATCACATAACAATTTTTGTCAAAGGATACACCAGTAAACAAAAGCTTGAGAGAGTCAACACTAAATTAGTCAAAGAGATTTCTCTGTGTAAAGAAGCGCCTGTTGTGACATTTAACCTTTTTTCCCTTTTCTGTTTCTAATTATATTCAAATTTAATTCTCAAGAGAAGCAGTTCACAGGCTCCTGCTATTCTCAGCCTAATGCACAAATCCTCTACTGA